TTTCCTTCTTTCTTTTTTTTTTCCCCCTATTATGCTTCCTGGGTGCTGCTATCTTATTATATACATCCACCATTGGTGAATTTACTTAGTTTCCAGCTGAGAATATCAAAACAATTTAAAAAAAAAGTAATTGCAAGGCATGCATAAATAGTCATGAAGAGTTTGGCTTAAAACTGACCATCCTTGGAGAGCCAAGGCAGGCAGAGATTCCCCACAAAGYAACTGCCAGGCTGCTCCTCTGGTCAGAGTGCAAGTTCAAAGAGAAAAAATATAATTACCTTCAATCAATCAGAAGGCACATCAGTATTTAAAACACTGCTATAGATGAATAACTGCATAACAGTAGCAGTTATTCATGTATGGATATAATAACTCAGAACCCCGGGTTACCTGGTTAGAAACATGAGGCTGCAGCAGCCCACCTGCATGGGGAAAAGCACATATCTAATTTTCTACATCCACGCTGCTCAAATCTACTGTTTTTCCCCCACATCTCTGTTTAGGGAGGAGCCAGCRGTGCGTGGACAGCAGATGGGAGCAGGCGCTGTGTACGCCCGTGTTGTGGTGCCATGGAGACCTGCCCTCGAGGGACGAGATGGGAAGGGTGAGCGAGTTTCCTGCCCGCAGCGGCGCCGGCCCCTCTGCTGCYGCAGTGAGTCACCCCTCCTCTCTGCAGCCACCCATACACCATAATTAGCTCCAGGTCTGATACTGCAAACACACCGCCAAATATTGGCTTTTAAGGCTCTTCTATAAAGCAAACAAAACCAGAATTATATGCTATTCCAAGCCCAGAGGGAGGAATTTGGAGTCTGCAGGACCTAATGAACTGCTATCCCATGCTGATAAGCACAGGGCCTCTCAGGCATCACAGCTGGGCTGCATCTGGCCCAAAAGCCAAAGATCTGAAGCTAAAAAGATTTGGACTCACTGACGGGTAAAGCTGCCCAGTGGTACGTGCCACGCTGAGACCTTTGTCCTCTCCCACCACAGGAATATCGGGATGCCTGTCCCTGTGGATGCTTTTATTGGCCTAGCAAAAGCCACTAAACTCCACRGGGACACCAGCCTGTTGATCAAAGCTGCAAGGAGGTTATAAATGTTATAGCAAGGAGGCTCTAAACGTTTTCTGTGGACAAAGGCAACACAAAGAGAAGTCAAGCCTTCCAAGAGCACCCGACATCTTGCAGTGCCACCCCCCAAGAGGTTACAGGACACTGGTGTCTGCACCCAAAGTTCAAGCAAATAAAGCTTAAACAAACGCCTCAGTTCTAATGCTGGGGCCAGGCTAAGCAGCAGCGACAAACTGCMTCTGCTCAGCAGGGTCCACTTGGTGAAAAGGGACAGGTTCAATACGGGCACTTGGCACCCACGGGGTAAAAGATCAACGGCACCTAATTTTAATCACCAGTTGAACTGGCACAGAGCAGCACAACCCTGCCCTTCCACACAGGAAGGTAGTGTGGCCAGTCCCGGGCACAGCTGGCTGTATCGGCAACAGGGAAGCAGAGGAAAGCACTAACAGCTTCCTATCCWAACATTGTTTCTGGAGGTGGAAAGAAAACAAGCAGGGGGCTAATCCGTATCCTTTGGTGGAATCGTTTCACAGGCACACTGCCTCTCGGGCGTGTCCAAACGCMTGTCAGAAAAGACATGATTTCCACAGTTCAAGACTAAGTTTGGCGTGAGCAACATCAGCTCCAGAGCTTGCACGTGGAGCTGCAAACCTTGAGCCACAGTGTGCACAGAGAAGCCGGAAGCCTCGTGAAGGCAGCAGGCACCTAAGTGCCCGCAGAAACCCGCGTCTCTGCAAAGTGCTGGCTCTTCAAGTGACCGAGATTACAGCAGAGCGCAGTTTCAAGCTGAGCAACTCCTCAGCTGCAGAGTTGCGCAACGAAAACAAGAGGAAAGGTATCGAGCACAAGCAGCAAGCGCTGCAGCCCGCGCTCTGCCAAAGCGCCTGTCGGTGCAGACGAGATGCTGGGCCGAGAGAGCAGGGGAGGAGGCTGACCCGGCCGGGAGCAACTCAGCTCCTCTGCCTGCATCCTCCCTTTGGAAACGTGCCCAGGACTTCACAATGTGCACGACAGAGCCCGCCCCGCAGCACAGATCACACTGGAGCACCAGGAAGGCTGCCTACAGTATTCTGAGTTTCAAGGTGCTTTTTACACCAATTGTCATCGTCATTATCGAGGTACCAGCCAGGAAGTCTCCTGAGAGAACTGTTATAAGCACAAAACTTCTGAAATGAGCTTTCCTGCCTGCTTTATTTTTGTACAATAAAACGCAACTAGCGGAAGCAGGACTAGAAACTAATAAGCAGCAAAATCACTGCTATTGCACCGACAGAAAGCAGAGAGATCCACGGATTTTTGCCAATTCCACTGAGAAAGCACAACAGTGGAAAAACCCCAGCCTGTTAGTCATGTTTCCCTGCTCAGCGGCTGAGGAGCTTCCCCGTGTTGCCCTGTCAGGCTGAGCTACGGTCCTGGCAGCTCTCTCTGCTCATGGTCACGGAACAGCCGCCCGCGTGGCTGCCTCGGCCCCAGCTTCTTTCCTCCCGCGCATCCGCACGGCTCCTCCCTGCCAGCCTCTGCTGGCACGGGAGGAAAGGAGCACGGAGGCACCGGGGCTGCGGGAAGCAGGGAGTGCCCAGGGAGCAGAACCGCGGCAGCCAGGCCCTTCTCGCCGCCCTCATCCGGAGCAGTGTCCCCGGCTGCTCCGGAGCGCTGGCCCCGGGATCGCGCGCACCCCGGGGTGCCCCCCGTTGGGACCCATGCCCGTGCCCGTGCTTACCCAGCGCGCCCTGGCAGATGTCGGTGCGAGTGGCTCCGCCGGCCACGAACTGCGGCTGGGCGCACAGCTCCTGCGGGCGACACGGCAGGGCGCGTGAGACGGCGCCACAGCGCGCGGCGCCACGCG